GTTGTGGCACAGGGATGGTTCCGGGGGTGGCAGGAGGGGGCACCTGGGAACTGATGGGCCCCTCTGCATGCGGAGGATGAGGAGTGGGGTCTCTGGGGGCCTGGGAGAGTCTCTACTGCCCTCCAACATCTCTGTGCAGGAGGAAGTGTGACATTAAGTAGTAAATAACGAACACCAGTCAGCTTAGGCCGTGGGAAAGAGGAAAACCCTTCCTATTTTGTACCTTTGCCAGTGCTCTGCTTTTCACATGAGGACCTGCCTTCCCCATTTTGCACTGGGCCCTGCAAACTCTTTGGCTGATTTGGGGGGTTGCGCAAAGACTTGCCTGGGACAGTTGGCTTGCCTCCCCCACCCCACCCAGGCTTCAGCTCTTTGTGTCTGTCCAGGGCTTCTTGCCAGGCCACATTGTACAGCCCTCCTTTCCTTGGGGCTATGCTGGCTGCATGGACACTCCTGCCTTCCCTCTCCCGTAAAAATCAAGGCCAAGTTGCCTGAAGCCAAAGTCCTAGCTCTGCGGCAGTCTCCTCAGGGTCAGCCACAGTGAGCCCCGTTCCACAACTCCACATCCCTGCCAGATGCATGAGGGTGCAGGAGAAATTGGGTCTCCTTTGCTGTTGTTACTGTCCAGAGTGGTGGTAGGAACTGACTTTCACGTGGGCCTCAGCTATGGCTTAGACTGGATGCTGGTCTCCCGTGGACCGGTGTGTAACCCCAGTACCCCCTCACCCTTTCTTGCTGCTTTTATGGCCTGGGAAGCACAGCAGCTCAGTGTGAGTGTGTGTGTGTGGGGGGGAGTGGTGCTACTTGATCTGGTGCTCTGTGATCCCCAGGTCCGGGAGCACTGTGAGCTGGCACCTGGCTTAATTAACCACATGTCTCTCCATATGGCTGCATCTAGAGTCTTGGTGGAGATGGACTGTTGGTCTTGAGCTGATTATCCACAGTCAGAAAGTAAAAGAAGCAGCCATAAAAACAGCGCTTCTTTCATTTGTGGAATATAAAGTAACAGAATGGGAGACTAACACCCAAGAACAGTAGAGATAAGTACCAGGAGAATTACTGCACAGCTTAGAAGCCAGCCTTACATCCTGGGGGAAAAGGCAGCTCAGATAGAGAAGGACCACCAAGTAAAGAGTGCTAGGATGGCCTGCTCTGGATGGGAGATGTGTGCTGAAAGTAGACTGTAGACCGTACATGATGGCCACTTAATACCTCTATTACAAACCACAACACCCAAAGAGAGAGAGAGAGAGAGAGAGAGAGAGAGAGAGAGAGAGAGAGAGAGAGAGAGAGCGAGAGAGAGAGAGAGAGAGAGAGAGCGCAAAAGAGAATACCCTGCCATAGAGGCGGGGTAGGGTGGAGGGGACAGGGTGGGGGTGGTGGAAGGGAGGCTGGGACCATTGGTGGTAGAAAATGGACACTGGTGGAGGGATGGGTACTCGATCATTGTATGACTGAAACTCAAGCATCAAAGTTTGTAAGTCTGTAACTGTACCTCATGGTGATTCACTAATAATTTTTTTTAAAAAAGCACTGCTCCTTACTGAGTGCTCACCATGTGCTCAGTGGTGTGCAAGGCATCTCACGCATGTCACTCATTGGTCCACAGTGACCCTCTGACATAGGTTTTGTGCTGTTCCCATCACACAGAAGTTAAGACAGTTGCCACAGTGTTTATAGTTTGTGGGTGAGGGAACTGGGATTTGAAGACTGTGGTGCTGTTCCCCTGCACGGGAAGTTCCTTCAAAAGTGATGGAACCACATTGCATTGTGGGCAGGAGGGAGCATCCCCGGCTTCAGGCCCCATGTTAGTATTTGGGAAGCGAGAATGGAATCTCAGTCTTCCGACTAAAAGCTCTGTCCTTTGCACTCTTTATACCTGTGAGAGCACCCGGGGCCCCATTCCTGGGGAGGAGGGAGACAGATTTGCATGCGGGGCGAGCTGGGCAGGCAGAACAGTGCAGGAAGGCCTCACTCGCAGGGCTGGGGGCAGGGGCGCTGACATAGGGAAGGGTCTCCATGGACCCACCCTGCCCTGCTCTTTCTGCAGGGAGGAGCCCAGCAGCTTAGCAAGTAAAGACACCTGGGACCCCTGCGAGAGGCCTGGAGGTGCTGCTCTCTGTGCCTCAGAGCCCTTCTCTCATAGCTGGAGACCTAAAGGGAAGCCAAGGAAATCTTTCATTTGGGAGTGGGGTGACAATCAAACTTGCTTGGGAAGCTGGGGAGCCAGGCTGGTATTTGCAGCTTTCCCCAGGACGATTGAGTTTAGAAGAGGAGGATCCTGCCTCTAGCCTGAATTTCCAAGCTGGAGCCATGGCCTCCTCCCAGTTTGCTCCAAGTTTTAGGTCCCACGGAGCCACTTTTATGCCCACCCTGCTGGAGACCCCTTGTCCCAGAAGCAGAAGAGCTGAACTTCATCAGGGCCTGGCATCTCCTCCTTCCCTCCCTCCCGACAGTGTAACTAACCCAGACCCCAAATAAACGGGGCTGCAGAGCCAGATTAGGCTCCTCACGCTCAGCGCCTTCCTGTGGCTCAGCTCCTGTGTGTATGTGTGTGCTCATATGTGTGTGTGTGTATGTGTGTGCTCATACGTGTGTGTGTGTGTGTGTATGTGTGTGTGTGTATGAAGACAGAGCTGCTGACTGACTTGGGGTTCGGTGAGCTGAGGCATGTGGGCCCCCCTTCTCTGAGTGTCAGCCTCATGGTGGGTATCGGGGAGGTATTAACTCCTGGGGCTCTAGGCTTAGGCCCCTTTCTTGCCTTCCAGTCAGTGGGGTAGGCCGGAGGGGACTCTGGGGAGGGCAGATGCTCTCAGCTGAGGTTGCTCTGCCCTGGTTCTGGCGACCCAGAGCTGCTTCTGAGGAAGAAGCCTGGGAGGAAGGTGGGGATGTGCAGGAAGCAGCTGTGTGGAAACTGCTGCCCCTCCCCACAGCATGAGGCAGAAACAGCAACTAGCAGGGCAGGAAGGGCCAGGGAAACCCAGGGCTGGGGGTGGGGCACGCTTTCTGGAGCAGCTTGCTGGGGCCAGGCTCAGAATGGGATTCAGGGGAAGCATCTGAAGGGCATGACACCTTTGACCTGACCTGGGCAGAGATCATGTTAGAAAGATGGGCTCATAAAAAGGGGGACGGGAGGAGAGAGAGAGAGAGAGCGAGAGAGCGAGAGCGAGAGCGAGAGAGAGAGAGAGAGAGAGAGAGAGAGAGAGAGAAGAAAAGTGCCAAAAAGTGCCTGTCAGGGGCAGGGGTGGGAGGTACGGGGAGGGAAACTGGGGTCATTGTTGGTGGGAAATGTACCCTGGTGGAGAGATGGGTGTTGGAACATTGTATGACTGAAACCTAATCATGAACAGCTTTGTAACTGTGTATCTCATGGTGACTCAGTAAAGAGAGAAAGAGAGAGGTGCGAGAAAGGAAGGAAGGAAGGAAGGAAGGAAGGAAGGAAGGAAAGAAGGAAGGAAGGAAAGAAAGAGGGAGGGCGGGCGGGTGGGCAGGCGGGTTTAACACTACTGAATGCAGAGAGATCAGACAGGTATATATGAGAGCCAGGAGAGGGTGTCTGGGGAACGGCCCAGACTTCTGCTGCGGTGGTATTGTAGAGACCCTTTTCCAGGAAGAAGTCAGGGAGTGGACATCAGGAACCTTACAAATACCTCTTTGGCCCAGAGTTCTTTGCTGCTGCCTGTATTGTAGAAAAGTATTGGAAATGCAGAAAGAACTTTCAACATGGAGATTCATTGTAGAATCACTGTTCTGGTGAAAATGGGAAATGTTCTACTAATCAGCTAATTCTGAAGCCAAGCAAGATCTTGCCCTCAGAGTATTACATAGTGGTGAGAATAAGTTGTGTAGAGATTTTGTAACTATTGGGGAAATTATTTTTGCTTCCGGTTCAAGTACAGAGGTATAATATCTGCTTCTTTGTCATATTTGATGCCTTTTGGGAACAGATTGTTGAGTTATTCCTTGTGAATACAGAGATAAATGGTAGAATCTCTGCCTACAGGGAATTGATAGGGTTTCAGTGAATCTTCCTGCCGCCCCCACCCTACAAGAAGAAAGATAGAAAGAAACCCCAGAAAATGGGGCAAGAAGTAGTTTTTTTTTCAGTATAGGATTATGAGAAATCTTAGTGCTTTTCACATTTTCAATAAGAGCTTGCTATTGAAATAAGTTTTGCTATTGCTTTAAGTTTTGGAAACTTAAAAAAAAAACAAAAAAACCCTTAAAATTTATTGAAAAGGAAGATTCTCGCAAGTCCATGGAGATGGCTAGACTGTGTGTATGTGTGTGTGTGTGTGTGTGTCAGTGTGTGTATATATGTGTGTGTGAGTATGAGTGTGAGTGTGTGTATGTGTGTGTGATTGTGTATGAGTGCATGTGCAAGTATGTGTGTGTGAGTGTGTGTGTATGTGACTAATTTATGCAAATGTGTATTGATAGAGACCCAGACAGGGAACCCACCGTGCGTGGCTCAGGCTGATGTCCTTCCCTTCAGAGCTTCATCTGAGAAGAGGGAGTGAGTGGTCAGGAGGTGACAAGGTGGCCCTTCCAACTTGGTGGCAGCTGGAGTGGGGGACAGGAGGGAAAAGGGCCAGGTCTGGGTCTCAGGCTTGGAGAAGGTGCTGTCTTTGGGGACATGTGAAAGGGGGGCTAGTTCCAGGACTCTCACTGGGGTCACAGTGGATGTGTGGTCTGGAAGCATCCAGAGCTGGTGTCCAAGAGGCGGCAGGAGACTGAGGAAGAATGTAGGAGAGTTCTGGGGAGTCGGCATTTGTCGGTGCAGATGTGGGGCTGAGTGCTGAGATCAGAGGGGAGAGGAAGTACCTAGCGGGGAGGTGGGAGGAGTCAGACTGCAGGAGAGGCCCCGCTGTCCCCAGACAGGCTGTGGAGTTGCTAAGTGTGATGGTGCACAGGGCCCAGAGGGGTGCAGCTAGGCCAGAGATGCAGGGGCAGCACAACTGTGGTGGGGAGTCTGTTCATATTTCTTCCCTTTTCTGCAGGAGAAGGGACCGCGCAGTGCACGTCCAGCATCCTCCAGGAGAAGCAGCGTGAGTTAAGCCTGGAGTCTTTGCTTATGGACCTTTGGGTGGGTCCATGCTCCTTGATCGTGGGGCCTCTCTTATCCACTCAGAGCCCAGAGGGTGGAAGATATTTTTGACATCTGACATGTCAGCAGGCAAGAGCAGAAGACCTGGGCCCACTCTACCACATAACACAGGGAGCCTAAGTCCCTCAAGTGAAAACTAGAGGGAGGGGCTGTGCTGGGAGGCTGAGCCCAGCCCAGCGAGGGGGACCATGGGGGGCCTTATGGCTCATTTGCCTGTGGGCAGCGTGAAAGGACAGTGATGGGCTACCAGCTCTTCCGGGTCTTGGCAGGACACAGCCTGAAGGGACCTCACTGATGATGGACATGAGGGGCTCGTCATTTGAGGTTGTGCCTGGGGCTGTGGCCCTTCAAGCTGTTACAGAGGCCCCTGTGCGGGTCTGGCCCTCCCAGCCCCTGACCTCTGTCACCAGGCCTCTCTAGGACTCTTCTCGGCCCTCGTCCCAGGGGAAGAGCCCAGACTGGGTCCAGAAATGTTGCTTTCTTGACACTGTGGCCTTAGGACATTGTCCTTGGGGATCTATGGTAGATGCAGAGGACCACTGAGCCCCATGTCCACAATAGGCCGGACTGGGTATTGCGTGAGGCTGGGTGGGAGAGGAGGCTGTATATGAGGCAAAGCTGCGTGCCCAAACTGCCCTGATTTCTCTCTTTGGCTGTCTGAACCTGGGGGCCTGGAGACTCAGTCCACCCTCCCCTCCCCAGGCTCAAGCCTTCCTCTGAGCTCTTCCTTCTCTCCCCTGCAGTCCTGAGGGTGTGCAGGGTCTGTGCTGCCAGCTGGCCCATGCTCACTTCCACCCAGATTAGGTGCCCAGACCCCCCTGAGAAGCTGCCCTGAGGGATTCACGGAGGAATCCCTGGGAGCTGGGAGGTGGTTGTTTCTGTCAGGCACCCAGGCGCAGGGGCTTCTGGAGAACATCAGGAGCCATGCCCAGTCTGAGGGTCTGTGTATGCCCACTGGGGATTTAGATTTATGGGGGTGGCCGAGTGATGCCACAAAACCAAGATCAAGGTCCTGGGAGGCCCACAGAGTACAGGAGAGCCGGGCACAGAACCTCAAGTCCAGTCTGTGAAAAGGGTGTGGGGGGCGGGGAAGGTGGGGTGGAGAGTATGAAAATGGGGCAGATCTTGCTGGTCAGACTCCTGGGAGGGTCATTGTGTGTGTGTGTGTGTGTGTGTGTGTGTGTGTGTTGAGTTGATCGCTCATTGTTGGGTACCCAATCCTGGGTTATTTAGGGTGGAGGATACAATTTCTGCTTGGTGCTAAAGACTGGGTTGTTTGATTTGCAAATGAAAGGCCCAGTGAGAAAGCTTTTGTCTCAAGGAAAGAGTAGATGAACTGGCATAGGAGATCTGGTCTCTCCTCATCAATGAGATGCTCCCCCAGGTGTCAAAACATCATAAAATAAAAGATGTGGTTGATCCAGGGGTGTCAGGAGCATGTCTCAGTGCCAGAGAGTGAGAGCACCTCATGGCACACACACCTGCCAGCCTCAGCTCCCTGGCACCAGACACAGGCCACAGAGCCCACGAGATGTTCAGTGTTCACCCAGGCTCATGGAGAGGCCAAGTCTCCCCTAGCTTCCCACCTGGGCTTTGGATTCTAGCAGAAGTGAGGCTGCAGACAACTACTGGGTCCTAGGCATGACGACAGTTGTCTTTGGTGATGTGCCATGGGGAGACACTTGTGGGGAATGGTCCCAGGCACCCCTGGCGATTCCGAAAGGCAGAAAACTACCAGCCTGCGTTGCCTGCTCCCCTGCTGCCTGCTATAAATGCTAGCATTCACAGACTTGTTCACTTTTGCCATGAGGCTAGTCTTTGATTGTGACTTGCTTGCTCTTATTTTTATTTACATTTGGGACCTCCCACGTGGTGCTTTGTTCAGTGCCAGTGCTAGGCCTTAGGATGTCCTATGACTTGGGGCTCGCCGTACTGAGGATTTCCTGTGCCATTGTGGAGGTTCTTGGGGATCCTTATGGCTGCAACCCAGGCTCAGGGGACCTTGTGGTACTGGAGATCAAGCCTGGGTCTGCCTCAGTTTTTTTTATTACTTTATTTTTATATATGTTATGTATGTTTTTGTTTAGTTTGGTGACCACACCCAGTGGTACTCAGGGTTTACTCCTGGCTCTATACTCCGAATCACTCCTAGTGGAACTTGGTAAACCATATGGGATGGCAGGAATGGAACCTGGGTCGACTGCATGCAAGGCAAGGGCCCAACCCATTGTGCAATCTCTCTGGCCCCCAGTTTGTTTGTTTTTAATCCCAAATTGGCAGAAGTCCGAATAAAGCAGAAGAATAGCAATGCCTGGCATTTATAATGTGATTTATTGAGTATACTTCCATATGTATATGTAAGCTTATTTAATTTGGTTTCTGAAGCCTCACTGAAAACATCACAGGGGATTGCACCAATGGTCCGGGACATGCTGAGGCTGGTATTCTAGCACTTGAGCTGGGACTAAGCCCAGGTTCTCCATTTACTTACCCGACCACATTGGCATCATTTGCTATTTCCTAACATCTCTGAGGCTCACTCACGTGTAGAAAGATGACCAAAAACCTGTTTCTGAGAGGTCATGGGTGAATACAGAGTTCACCTGGGTGCCAAGACCCGTCCCTCGCACAGAGGAAGTGCTCGTTGCTAACTCCTGGCTTTTGATGGCCTCAGAACTGTGTGTGTGTGGAGGGTACATGGAGGAGGATGGAAACTGGACATTCCTTGTATCCCCTGTGGTCTTTTCTTCCCTCCTTGACCTGTCATGTCTCGGTGTCACTCAATTCTCCATGACTCTGGGCCCTCAGCTTTCAGTGCTGGCATGGGGCTGAGTACAGAGGAGGTCTCTCAGCAGCTTACATACAGGTATGAGAGGGCAAGGCTCAGCCTGCGGACAGGGCAGGGGTGCCTGTTCTGGAATCTTCCCTCCTCTGTGAGTGCCAGGCAGCTCTGGTTGGGATTTCACAGGTGACCTGGCATCTGTACTCCTCCTGAGCTCCAGGCAGCCTGGGGTGCCCTTGGCCTACTGCTGGCTTGGTGCCGCTCTGCTGCTGTGTGACCAGGCTCCATCCCTGCCCACTGGCATTGTCCTGCCCTGTTTCCTTGTCTCCTGGCTCCCTTTTTGTGTGTGTTCTCCCTGTACTGCTTGTTCTGGTTCCACAGCTTGCAGCTGCTGGCAGAACTTCCCGCCTGGCTGGTGTGGGGCTAGGGCAGGCATGGTACCCTCTCGTGACAACCCTCATTCCTCTTCTTCCTACCATTGCAAAGGGTACCAATTCCCAGAAACTGAGGTGGAAATCTGGAATCCTGCTCTTCTCTCCGGCCATCACCTTGCAGAGCAGGTCAGGCCCCTGTGAGCATGCATCCTGCCTCTAGCAAAGTCCTCCCACATCTCCGTTCCTCTGCACCCTGAGCTTTCTCTGGGAAAGGTCATACTTTGCCCTTTCCAGGGATGACTTTGTCCCCCTCCATGCTGGCCTAGTGGTCCCCAGTCTCCTCTGGGCCTTCATCCAGAGACAGACACCTGCCCTGGGGAGCACTAGGTCCTTCAGGTCCCAAGCCTGTCCCGTGACTCCACTCCAAGAAAAGACGACATTCGCCTCTTCCCTACCCTTGCCCAGCTGTGAAGGGCCCTTTCCCTCCTGCTGTGCATCAGTGTGGCGATGACAAGCAGAGTTTTCTCATAAGCTAATGGGAAAGCATGAACATTCTATCTATCTCCGTGGATGGGACACTAGCAAAGGACGCAGCTGGGGGGGACTCAGGGTCCCCAGAGCTGGTCTCTTTGACTTCCTCTGTTTCTAGCCCTGGGACCAGGGAGTTGCCCACCCCTTCCTGCTGGGCGCACCCATGGGTGCAGTGCCATGAAAGCCTGTGGGCTCTCCAGTGGGGCCTGTGACCCTCCTCTTTGGCCAACAGCCCACCTCGGGAGCAGTGTGATGCCTTCACCACAGCCACTCCACAATGGGCCAGGCAGGGGTGTAGATGGGGGCTGTGGAGTGGGGTGCGGTGGGGGGTAGGGTGCTGTTCCACCTGTGGAACTTTGTGGACACTAAAAGAAAGTACAGCCACATCACAAGGACAAAACTGAGCCTGGGTGCGAGGGTCCTTGCACCCAGAACTGCTGCTGCTGCTCCTGCTCTTCTTCTTCTTCCTCCTCCTCCTCCATCTCATGTCTGAACTGAGTCCCATTTTCTGCATCTTTGCCTTTCCATGGTGCCCCATGTACCTGGGGGCTGCCCCCTTGTGCCTTTATCATGTGAATGCTCGCTCCAGTGAACCCCCAACACCAAACCCTGCCTCCATAGTCCAGGGTCTACGGGACAGGAAAGTGTGAGCTAAAGAGTTTCCCTCTATCTCACCTCCCCCTAAGGAGGGGTGCAGATTGCTGGAAAGGGAATTCATGCTTGGAGTCAGCTGGGGTTGCGGTTGTGTGTCAGTGACCACCTATGATTGGGGGTAGCCTTCCCAGGGCCAGTACAGAGTTAGGGGACTCCGTCCGACCATGCCTGCTCTTAGAACTCAGGGCCCCGTGGGTCGCTGATCCAGATCCAGACCTGATGCTGGTCCAGCCTAAGTTCCAGCAACCAACGGAGAGAAGCTTTGCTGTGTCTTGGGGTCCTGGGCCGTGCCGCCAGCCTGTGCCGGTTCCCAGACCTATCAGCTGTGAGGGCACCTGTGTAGGTGTGGAAAGGGTGGTGGGGTGTGGTTATGCCTCCCGTCCCCCTGCCTGGGGTCGCTGTCCCAAGAAGTAGCACTGGGGTAGTTAGAGGGGCTCCCCTCCTGAGCACTCTCAACCTTACAGCTGCCCTTCGTGCCCCCTAGAAGGGTGTGCAGGGGGCCCTGGCCTTGGCTGGCCTCCTCGCCCCTCCGCCTGGTGACTGGCATCTTTTCCTGGCCTGTGTGGGCAGCGTGCTGAGCACAGCTGCAGTCGGGCTATA